GTGAGTTCAATTGCAATCCTAGAAAAATAGTTTAGTTCATAATATCTAATAATAACTTCATCCAGAGAAAATTAATTAGTAATTCAAGTCAAAGAAAATAAGAAAAACACAAAAGTAGAGAGAGAAAACTAATAGTTGAAGCTTTTTGATCTTGATTCTCCATTCAATTCCCTTTCTTTCTTGCTTTGTTTTTGGCTCTTTTTCTCTAGAGAAATTTCTTGCTGCCTCCTCTGAAAAACTTTTGAAAAAGGCCCCTTAAATAGCCTCTAAAAGCCTTAGCTTCCAAAATCCCATAAGATTGTTATTTTTGGAAAATACGGTAAGTGCTATGGCTTTCATTTTTCAGAGTCGTGGCTTTCAAAGGTTTTGCTCAATTTTGTTCTTCTAGTGTAGTACTTTCACTTTGATAAAGATTTTGATCACTTTTCAATCAGAACTGGGCAAAGTGGTAAACATTAAAGTTGTAGCCTTGCCTTTTACTTTCTAATGGTCTAAAAATTGTGTCATTTGGACTTCTGTAGTGAGAGATATGCTTGAAAAATCAAAACATATGCAAATAGAGCACTAGTCCATTATGCACCTTTCTTTACCAAACGAAATTATTTTTGATCCTACTCTTACTAAAACATAAAAGTAAAAATAAATAACATAAAACTAACATTATTAACTTAAAATAAACATTTAAACATAAATTAAACTAAACTAATAAAGTAAATAAAAACACCTAAATTCGATCCTAAAGCTACTCTAACTTAGACTAATTAGGTATTTAATTTCCTATTAAATATATGTATTAAATGCACTCATCACAAAGAAATTGTATGTCTTCATGGAATTCCAAAAACCATCACTTTAGATCGAGATGTGAAGTTCATGAGTAATTTTTGGTGAACTGTCTGGAGGAAAATGGGAACTCATTTGTAGTTTTGTTCAGCAAGTCACCATCAAATGGATAGCTAAATAGAAGTGGTCAACAAAAGTTTGGGAAACTTATTGAGAAGTTTTGTGGCTAAACATATTCGCCAATGGGATCTTGTGTTAACACAAGCGAAATTCTCTTACAATAATTCTGTAAGCCAAACCACTAGAAGATGTCCACTAAAAGAAGTATATGGAAAATGCCCTCTTAGTCTTTTGGACCTTCTTGCATTACCAACTACTCGTGAATTTAGTGCTAATGCTAAAGAAAACGCTAAGCAAATCAAGAAGATCCTTGAAGAAGTTAAGAGAAGATTATTCTTCAATTGCCATATACCAAAAACAAGCCAACAAGCATAAAAAATCAACTAGTTTTAAAGAAGGAGACTTAGTGTGGATTCACTTAAGGAAAGAACGTTTTTGTAAGTCTTGTACAAAATTATACCCTTGAGCTGATGGACCATTTTGAGTCTTGGGACGTATCAATGAGAATACTCACAAGATCGAACTTCTTGGAGATTATGAAGTTTTTTCTTCCTTCAATGTAGCTGATCTTTCTCCTTACTATGGAGAAGATGAAGCAGACATGGATCTTGAAGGTAATTTTTTCCTCCAATTTAGGGAGAATGATACAGGAGTATAATATTTAGTTTACTTGCACATTAAGTCAGATTAGGTTTAGTTTTCTTTTTTACTTTACTTAAACTCCAAGAAAGTTTAGGTTAGGTTATTTTTTTAATTAATTGATTATTTATTTATTTAAGAATTGTAATAATCTCACGTGAGAAAGTCAGAAGACTCTCTTCTTTAGGAATAGTTTTATAAAGTTCTCTTGGCTTAATTGTTAAACACATTCAAGTTGAGATTAAATAAAAAATATTTTCTCTAATAAGTAGGAGTGCTTATTTTCTTTAGGCTCTTTTCAAAAGAGTAAGAGATTTTAGTATCTTTGGTTTGGTCAACTAAAGATTTTGGCCATTACTCATCTTAGTGGAGTTTTTTAACTTCGTCAAGATTGGTGTTCACCTTAGTGGAGTTTCTAACCTCGCCATGGTTAGTGTTTTCATAACATTTCGATATCTTCACAACACTCGAGCGTTAGTATCTAAGGTCGTGCCTTGGTATTCACCAGATAAAGAATCACAAGGCTATGTTGAAGATTTGATTCCTTATCTGGTTGAAGGATTGGCAGGAACTAATAGAAAGTTGAAGGTTGAGGAAGGGTGGTCTTCGTATGGTGTCATTTCTCTTTTGTTTCTTGTTTAGTGTTTAAACGTGGACTAGCTTTGTCGTTTTACTTCTTTATACTTGATGTAGTGAAATGGTAGATCCAAGTGTTGTTTTCTCGTTTCTTGTTTCTAAAGTTGCACAACACTTCCTCGTGTTGTTTAGGTCTTGTTACTTTAATTTTTTCTTGTACGCACAATAATGCTGTCGTTTTAGTTTTTCTTGTTGGAGGCTTAACAGCCATGTCTACTGGTCTGAGTTAGTTACCGTTGGCACAACTGACTCACCTCGATTTAGTTTCCCGAAGCTGAATCTAAGCAATTTACAACTTTTTGGAGAGTATATAAATGAAAATGAAACCGTTACATAGTGGTTGCTGATGATTCTGTGATATACTGCGTTTTCTATCAATTTTCCCCTGTTCTTCAAGTGTTCATCATTTTTCTGGAAAAGGTTTTTCTTTAAAACTTCTTCAGTAACTCTAGGGCTTAAGTAGTTCATGATGGAAGAACAAACTTTCTGGGGAAACTCAACCAGGTGAGGGCTGAAGCTGGACTCTGCTGCTGTCTATTCATACTACCCGAAAGCAAAACTAAATAGCTCTATAAGTTTGATACAATAATGTGCTGGTGGTTGCTTAGTCTTTTTCTTGTATGAACATAATTGAATAGTGCCTCTTGTTTTCCACTTGAAAATGTTTTGAGTTACTCCCTGTATTCAGCAGCACTAGTTAAGTCATTTTCAATGCAAATTGACAAAGGATCGTATAAGTATCAGACAAAAGAAGCACCACAGGAGAGATCAAAAGCTGCGTCCTTTGAAGGGGAGGGAGAGCTAAAATGTCTTAGTGGATTCAAGCCAAGTACAAATTCAATAAATGAATAATTTTCCTAACTGTTCCTGAATGCAAGGCTTTCGAATCAAGCAGAAACTTGAGATCAATCACAGGATCATTCTGAAAGATTTGTCGGTTGATAAAATGCTTATCTTGCAGCATTTGATGTCCCACAAGATTATGGGGAAGGCTAGAAATGGCCACAAAAATGACGAGTTAGGCCCCATGAGATTGTGAAAGAGACTATGTATGGGTTGACCTTCACCATCAGACTTCTCCAAGTCTGGAATTTGAGGACAACATTCTTGCTGCAAAGTTGAGCTTAAATGATGGAAAATTTCGCAGCTTTCTTTCGGTGAAGCTAGATGCTATAGATTGACAGCACTGTAGATCATGCCTTTGCGGTCAAATGGATTCTTAGATTTGATGCCATATCCATGTCGCAATTATAGCACTTGAACCAAAAAAGTCTAGCTCTTCATGTATCAAGAGGTGGAAAAACTCTGCCTATAAACAATGATGATTAGCAAGGAAATTCCTCATACAACAAACTTTTAACCAGAAGAGATAGAAGATTGCCACAAAGTGCAGTTTTCTTTACTATTTGTTGTGATATTTGTCCCTTCAACACCAGTGTCTTGCTACCCTCCACAAGTTTACGTTTCTGTAGTGATGGAGTATTTTGGAATTGTTAAGAGCATGGTTCTCTTTATGGAATTGGATGGGTTAACAAGTTGAAAGTTGATTACATTTTGATTAAACATTAGATGTTGTTTGCATAATGGTACTAGAATTATATAGAAGCAAGGTTTAATGGTACTAGATTTCTTAACATTTCAAAATTCCAAACCATAATGAATACTAACTACTTGAGCACTTATCATCTCACCTCAAAGTTTCTAGATGATTGAACTCCATGGATATTAAATTCTTATGATAAAAGAGGATGATCCTTGTCCCCTATGGAAGAGTTTAACTGTAAGAATTTGATTTCTTCTTATAGGTTTAAAGTTTGAAACTTGAGGAAAGGAAGATGGAATTTAGGGGAGTTGAATATAGCTCTTTCCTTTTGTGTAAGTTAAGCTCAATTCATTCTTGAAAATTGGCACAGTAATTGGGTGGTTTATTTGACAACATTAAGGTTAAGGGCAGTGATATTGCTCGCCATTTCTCCTAATTTAAAATTTCAGGTAAGGAGAATTCTTCAAGAATAACAAACACAATTTCATTAGAGAACATTATCTGTAAGAACTGTTAACAAATTTTCATCGGATTTACTAAGAAACTCTTGACAAGGGTGTACCAAAAGAGGCACCTTAACTAGTAAAGCACTTCCTGTTTCGTTCTGGTTTTGAAAGTAAACATTATTATAAAGAATAGGGTAAAATACCTCCCCACTCTTGAGTTTTAATCGAAGTTCTAAATAGAGTCATTAGTTTTTGAAATGGACACTCTATTTAAAAAATGTAATCACTATTAATAAATATTATGAAAAGATTAAAATATCTTTTTTTTTTTTTATAAATTTAAAAAATTATTATTATATATATTTTTTAAAAAAGGAGCACCGACTACTGCTTCGTAGCTCCCCAAGAAAGGGGAGCACCGGCTCAAGAGGGGAGAGCACTGATAGGTGCTTCCTTTTTTTTAATTAATAAAAATAATATAATAGTAATTTTTAAAATTAATAAAAGGAAAATTATTATTTCAATATTATTACGTCATTAAACTAGCGAAAACACTAACAGTTAACTGACGGCTAGACCTATGTATCCAATGAAAGATATATTTTTAAAATAAGTGTCCATTTTGAAAATTAATGGACCCGTTAAAAATTTCACTTAAAACTTAAGAAGGAAAAGTATTTTATCTTAAAAGAATAATAATGAATAGCATCAATTTGTCATAGCCAAGAAACTCAAGTTGTTTCCTTACTACTGATGATGCTCTGCTTTCAGCTTCCAGATGTTCACTTCATCTTTTAAATATTCAAATTCTTGGTAGGGTTTGGTCAGCTTTGCTGCAATATTTTCTTCAATATGCAATTGTACCTTTTATTGGTATCCAGGTACATTCATAATCTTCTTCAACTACTCCTGCTTCCTGTTAAAGTACAAAAGATAATCATTGAAATGCACTAAAACACATCAATTAATTCATTGAGTATAATATAATATACTCATGCATGTATCATTCTTGAATAGACGGCACTTACTTCAGTATTTCATCCATTTTATTCTTGATCATTTCACGTTCTGCTTCTGCATTCCGAGTTCCATGAACCTTAACATATGAATGATATTGCTCACCATTCTTGAGTAGACGGCACTTACTTTCAGGTTTTCATTCTCAAATGCACATGCGGCTGGAGCAGTATCTAAACCACTCAGTGGAACCTATGGAATTTTCAATTGAAAAATAAAATCATGCTAAGCATTAATCAAAAAAAAAAAAAACTGAATTGAAATGATGGTATCCACATTCGATATGCTGCAGTATATTACAAGCATAGAAGAACAAGAAACCAAGAACACAAATTTATCTGAAAGGGTTAAGATCTCTAATTCACATGATCTAATGATTTCTGCCACTTCATCATTTTGACATAATGCAAAAGCAGGCAACTTGAACAAGATAAATTAATGCAATACTCTTGTTATTGATCATGGTACTTAAAAAAATGACGAGGAAGAAGAGACACTGTGATTTTTGTCTAGCTTGTTTGAAGATTAGAAAAATATGCTTCACATATTTGCATTTCATTTCCTTCTTACTCTCTGTGTTTTAGACTCAAGTCTTGTACTGCCAGTAAGTTTATGTACATGATGTCAAGGTGTCCTATGTCCTGTGCTGTGCAAGCAGACGAATTCTCGCTCTGCTTGCTGTTTTGTTCTCCTGGACTCTTCCAGTGATTCCTTACGGGGTGATTAATAGAATTCTTATCTTGACTAAGAACAAAAATTGTTTCTTCTTAGCAAGCAGCTCTGCTCTAAGTGACCCATGAGACCTTTCAGTGGACTCTACAAGGCCCATTTTGTATTCCACTCTTTCGTACGTCCAGCTCTGTGCAAGGGAAAACGGGATATAGCAGTAATTGCACAGAAATTGAAATTGTATAAGTTTTCTGTTTCCACAGTTATCATGATAATCACTTGTCAGGATAACCAAGCCAGAACAATACTAGAAGAATGAAACTTGAACTTACCTTTGTTGGTGATGGGTATTGGCATGTCATCATCGATTCTTTCCTTGAGTAGCTCTTTACTCCTGGCAGGTGCTGCCACAGTTCTTCAGTTACAAATGGCATAAATGGATGAAGCAAACGCAAGCCATTTTTAAAACAAATCCAAAGAACATGTTCGTGCAGATTTCCTTTCAGAGGAAAATGCCGGATAATCACCACTTGATTGCTTCAATGAAAATGTCACAGGACTGATACTGTCACCATGCGTACACATTTGTGGCAGTATCTGAAAATTCATATTTATTTAGGATCTGTTTGATAACCGAAAAATATTTGTTGGAAAAAAAATATTTTTGTGTAAAATGTTTCATAGGAAAATTTTGTGTTTTTTGTTTTTTGGATAAATTGTCGAAAATATTTTCTATTGTTTGAATCATTTTATGAAAAATATTTTTCATTATGGTCGACTTATTTAGGTGTTAAAATAATAAATAAGAGTTGATTATAAAACAATATTAATATTTGATTTTCATTAATTGGGATCAAAATTAAGAATGGAAATGAATATAGATTAAATCAATAATTATATTTCTCAAAGCATTTAACTACATATCTGTAATAAAAATAAATTTTAATTTTCAAAAAATTTTCCATCTTATCACTTTTTTATCATAGCTATAAAAATATAAATATTCATCAATTGTGTAAGATATCCAAAACCTATACTTATAAATATATATTTATTAAATGATGATTATTGAAATATTTTTTTATTATAATTATTAGTAAGATTTAAACCTATTATAAATGTGTATTCATCAAATGATGATCATTGAAATATTTTTTATTATAATTATTAGTAAGATATATTCCACTTATAAATAAAAAATTCAATTGCATTGAATGGTTTCATTAAAAAAATATTTTTTTAATTTTAATTGTATTGTATAATTTAAATATTACTATTTTAAATTAATTTTTAAGTTAAATATTAATATTTTTTTAATATTATAAATTAAATATTAATATTTATCAAACTTATACTCATAAACGTGGTATAAAAATATTTTTATTGTTCTCTGAAAAATGTTTTATGTCTTTGAAAGGCGCAAGACATTTTTGGTGATTGACCTTATTGACTTGTAAAATGTTTTGTATCTGGAATTAATTTTCTGTCTTTCAAACAAGTATGAGTCTTAAAATTATTTTTTGAAAAATATTTTCCTGCAAAACAAACGGACCTTTAATGACAAAACAGTTTTTGATATAACCTTGTTCAACACTGAGAGTATCCAGTGACAACGGAAAGGCATATCGTCCCCTGACTTGTGGTCAATGGTGGACAATAGTCATGTAGAAGTTTGCTCATGGCAAAATGAACGGTATCCCATAATTTGTTACACCATTGACAATAGCCAACCACTCTTTGGATATCAAATTTAGTTTTATCTGACTGCAATGAGAAAATCATAAAGAGTGGCTTGATACGAGTGCTGCATACTATTTGAAGGAAATATTCGCCCAACTTTCTGGATGGTACATCACCCCCCCAACTTAATTCCCAGCATAACCATTCAAACAACCCAGAAAAATAGAATGTCATGCCCAGTTTCAAGGACTGATGTTTGGATAAAATGATTTTACATCATCAGGCAATTCCAAAACAGATAACATAAATAAACTATTAGAAAGTTCAATAGGAATGATGCCAGCAAGAGGATTCTAGAGAGGCACAAGGATATCACGTTCTGGAATGCTAGACTAACAGAATAGTGGTAAATGTGTAAATAGCATTTCATTCTTGTAATTCTGTTGAGTAGTGCAATAGGTAGTGTTAGTCATTTTAGGTCTAATGTTCATTTATTCTTGTATATCAAGATTACTCATAAGATATATGAAATTTACATCATATATACATTTCATGGCATTTCTCATGCCTACTCTATTTTTTTCATGTAGTATGTAAAACATACATTACATACATAATCTCATCGGATTTATCATACTTTTTCAATCATTTCATATAGTATATGAATATACATCATTTACACAAACATATCAATCTTTGATGGAAAAACATTATTCAATCCATCATGCATCACATGCTTCAACATAGCAAGCATTCACATCATAATGTTCGTACATCAATATAAATGATTTCTTGTACCCACACTAGTTTGAAGACCAGAGTAAGCGAGTGCTACAAATAATAAGGTGCTTATCCCCCCTTGTTGAAAACTAACACATAATAATATATTTAGATATAGTAGATTGAAAACCATTTTTGAAACATTTTTCACATCCACAATCTTATTTTTCATTTCACCAATATTTGAAAAAGGTCATATTCATTAATAAACCTAAAATCATGCTTCAACTTTACATACCAAAATGGTTTTGAAAGTGGTGTGTCCACTCATCTTAATCGAAGACCCACTCAACAAGCTTTCTTTGCTGATTTCCTAAGAGTTTTAGATCGTTCCTACTACACAATAATCATAGAAATCAATTTCTAGACTAACAATCTTAGAATAATCATTCTAAGAACTTTCAAAATTTATTCGCTTTTGACTAAGTCTATTTTCTCTCACTAAACCTATTCTAAAATTCATAAATCCACTAACCTTGCCTTCGATGAGCTTAGATGACTTGAAAAATCTCAAAAGCCTTAGCTTTAATGTTCCAACAAATTTTCTTGGCATATAAACATAAATTTCAGAATAAAAAAGATGAGCTTTAAAGGTTCTAAAGCATAAAAATGACATTTTTATCATTAAGTCTCAAAACTAAGATTAAAATCATTGAAAGAAAAGATTTTTGACAAAAAAACAAGTTGAAAGGGTTTACCTGGTTGAGGGTTGAGAAACCCTCGGTTATTGTGACATATTTATAGTTTGAAAAGTAAAAATACATTTTTAGCTCTTTTATTTTTGTGGAAACAGCATCATCAATTGAGAAATTGGGGCTATCTATGGATAGATGAGCTTCAGAGTCCTTTTTAAAAGCTTTCTGGTTACTCTCTATTAATAGATGGCTCCCATCTATGGATAGGTTTTGCTAGCTATGGATAAATTTGGTCATCTATCCATTGATGTTTTTTAGAGTAGCTTTAAGAAAACCTTTCTAGATTGTATCTATCGATAGATGAAGAACATCTATCAATTGATAGGCTCTAATAAGCAAAAATAAACCTCAGAAACATATCCAATTGGACTCTAACACTAAACTTATCAAATCATCTTAATGCATTAAAACATGATTTTTTTTTTCCAAAATTAAAACATAGTTTTGATTGCTCAATACACAAAATCATCTCAAAACATTAAAACATGAAATTTTCTAACTATAAAACTAAATTTAAAGTGTTCAAAACATAAACTTCACTTGCTCATCTAAGAATTTTCTAGTTTAGCAATCTTACATTAGGGCGGGGTTTCACATAATAATTCTTCACTAACCAAAACCAAATACTCACAGCAAAAGCTTATACAAGAATAATGGGTAGATGCTAATGTTGCTAACCAAAGCTCTCGCCAAGTAAGTCTAATTTTCACAGGATGCAAAAATATCAAGATCTATAAAAACTATGGAGATTATAGGAATGAGTACAATGATTCAACAAGTAACTGATATCCTTTCAACTAAATTAAGCATGCTAAAAACATTTAGGCCAAAATCACTAATACACATATAGGTATCGAAATAGAATTTTGGGTAATTTCATTCATAAATATATTATTCCAAAATTTCATTTTTAGATAACAAAAGTAACTATTATTTCACTTTAGATAGTAGAATTGTCATATTTCCAAAATTTTCAAATAACAGAACAAAACATAATTTCAAAATAACTTCCAGATTTTATTGGTCTCCTTTAGCATGCTACGAACACATTTAACCCTTGTGACATAGGTAAGAATTAAAACCACAATTAACCCTAATGGCGCAGGTCAAAATCAGAACCACAATTAACCTCAGTGGCATGGATCAGAAGTATAACATAAGCAATCATTGATTGCATTGAACAAGTACCACAAAAACAACTATTCTGTAATTGATGGCATGGTTTAAAGATCAATCTTTAATCACAAACTATATGTCAACATGCTCAACATTTAACCTCTATTGGTAGCGTTAGAGCATAACCATAGAACGAGACAAAACAAAACATATTTTTAGATTACTCAATTTCATAAAACAGTATTTCACTTTCCCATTGCACATTTCGTGTGCATCAAAGGTTTATTTATTTTAGACTAAATATTTTATTTTTGTATTCGCAAAAACATATAAACACACATTGAACAAAAATCACTTTCCAAAACCAAAGTTGAGATCGTATTCAAAAAACCAAAACAATGATCATATTTACTTATATATATTAACATGCTCACTCAATTTAACAAACTATAGGACAAAATATCAAATACCAAGTGCAAATTCACATTGACGCTAATTTTTAAGATGTGAAGACATCTAAGGAATCTCCGTTACTTACCTAGTTTGTCAAGTTCACTTTTAAGGAACAAATCAAAAAATTCTCCTAGTTACTTAATATATCCAAAAAATATATCCAAAAGTTATAACTCAATTTACAAATAAATTTGACAAGATAACTTTCCACTAACCATCCTAAGCAATTAGACTGTGTGGTAACCCCATTGCAATTGAGGAGCATTTTCGATTAATAAAACAATTTTCTTTTTTTATCATAGAGATAATAAAAGTCAAGTAAAGTTGAGAATTAAACTTAAATTATAAAATCAGTAACATTTTTAATTTATGATAGAAATCTAATATAAATTTCATGTAAAAATCATATTTGTAAATTTTCTCTTAATTTTGTCATTTTTACAAAATCTACTAATATGAGAAGTACATTTATAATAGGGTAAAATACCCTTATCCCCTTGCGTTTTAATTGAAATTACACGGAGGTCCATTAGTTTTCAAAATGGACACCCCGCTCTAAAAAAATAATTTTCGATGGATACATAGGTTCAGTTGTTAGTCAACTGTTAGTATTTTCGTCAATTTGTCGATGTGGTGAGGGTAAAAAGATAATTTTACCTTTGATTAATTTTTAAAATTACTATTATATAATTTTATTATTTTTTTATTAATTAAAAAAAAACTCTCCAGATGGGAACATTGGTGCTCACTAAGGGAGCACTAGTGCTCCTTTGTGTTGAGAGCACCGATCTAGTGGTCCCCTCCTTTGAGGAGCACTGATTGGTGCTTTTTTTTTTAATTTTTAAAAATATAATAATAATT